GGTTCCCCTCGTAAGAAAATAGCACTACTTGTTTAGCTAATAATATACTATATCTTTCACTTTGGAACTGGTGGAATTTGACGTTGGACTGCGAGTTAAAATGGGAATTAGAAATATATATCATGATAAGCTTTTATTATTTTTATATTATAAAATCTATCTATGAATTCATCTTTGTGCAGTTCCATTAATATGCGCCCTGGAATTAAAAATATTGGAATTTTGTAAGAAAAAATCACTGTTCTTTTTTGTCAAATATTTTAATTGTATGTAAGGCTTAATTTAATATCATATCATTATTTAAAATAACGTAAATAAATTCAAATTCTATAATGTGGAGTAAATTAATAGCTTTATTCAAAATAACATAAAAATTTATAATTCTATAATGTGGATTAATTTCATGAAACTATAGTAGCATATTTCTGAAATTTAACGAATATATTTATATTTTCAATTAAAATTTAATTTATTGATATGACGCACAAAAAATCATTCCAATAAAACGCCGTATAGTCGATCTATATTTGAAATACATATATTAAAATTACAATAATTTCCACCAAATATTGTAGTTATTAAATATTTATAAAATATATCATTGTATTCAATTGGGATTTCAAGTGACATTTTAAGACTTTTTAAGATTTGAGATTTGTTAAAAATTCTGGATTTTGGAGAAATTTCGTGAAATCCTAGGTTTGGAGGTGGGATTTGAGGTAGGATTTCGTATAAGGTTTTTTGTTTAAAATCCCATCAAATCTTAAAGAGTCTTAACAAATCCTAGTGTCAAATAAATTAAATAACTCAGGATTTTGTAAGACTTTTTAAAATCGCAATTGAATACCTCATGATTTTTAAAAGTCTTAACAAATCTAAATTGAATACACCAGGATTTCTAAAGTCTTAAAAAGTCTTTAAAAATCCTAATTGAATACACCATTTGTCTACAAAGTTAGATTGATTTGATAGTAACTAAAAACGCCATACTAACCAAAAATAACAAAATTATTTTGAAGATCACTTTTATTTAAAATTTATATATTTGGATAATATATAGAAGCAAAATATTATACAAAATATCTACCTTATTGTAAAAGTTTTTAAATTAAAGAGTACAATATACTAAACATTTACATCTACATCTACATGTAGATCTATCTAAATAAGGATTTGACATTCTAGTTTTGCCGAAAATTTCAAGCTCTTTTTACATACTAAAATCGAAAGTTTTTATTATTCTTTTACAGCCATATGGATTAAATATTAAGGTATAAATAAGTTTTACAATATTAACTAATTATTATACTCCTATAATTATTAACTTTATTATTTTGTTGAGTTATATCTTAATTCTATTTTTTATATTTAAAAATTGATATCTCTTAGATAAAGGCTAGATCACTATTTTATTTATCTCTATATTTTATATTTATCGCATTTGTTTATGTATTGTAATATATATATATATAT